TGCTGTTTCAAAGGGACACATGCACCCCCATGTTTATAGCAGCACTATCAACAATAGCCAAAGTATGGAAGGAGCCTAAATGTCCGTCGATGGATGAATGGTTAAAGAAGAAATGGTATATATATACAATGGAGTATTACTTGGCAGTCAAAAAGAATGAAATCTTGCCATTTGCAACTACGTGGATGGAACTGGCGGGTATTATGCTAAGTGAAATTAGTCAGAGGAAGACAAATATCCTACGACTTCACTCATATGAAGACTTTAAGAGACAAAACAGATGAACATAAGGGAAGGGAAACAAAAATAATCTAAAAACGGAGGGGGACAAAACAGCAGAGACTCATAAATGTGGAGAACAAACAGAGGGTTGCTGGAGGGGTTGTGGGAGGGGGGATGGGCTAAATGGGTCAGGGGCACTAAGGAATCTACTCCTGAACTCATTGTTGCACCATATGCTAACTAACTTGGATGTAAATTAAAAAATAAAAACAAAAATAAATATTAACAATTAACAATTCTAATTTAAGAGTTCTAATTTCTCCACATCCTCATCACAACTTGTCATATCTGTCGTGTTGATTGTAGCCATCCTCGTGGATGTGAAATGGTATCTTCTTATGGTTTTGATTTGCATTTTTCTGATAGCTAATGATGTTGAGCATCTTTTCATATTGGCTATTTGTATATCTTCTTTGGAGAAATGTCTTTTCAGATCCTTTCTTTGCACATTAAAAAAAATGTTTTAGGGGTACCTGGGTGACTCAGTCGGTTGCGTGTCTGACTTCGGCTCAAGTCACAATCTTGCAGTTCGTGAGTTCAAGCCCCACATTAGGCTCTGTGCTGACAGCTTGGAGCCTGGAGACTGTTTTAGACTCTGTGTCTCCCTCTCTCTCTGCCCCTTCACCCCCCCAAAAAATATTTTATTTATTTATTTTTTAAAGAAGCCTTTATTTTTTTCTTCATTTTTTTTAATGTTTATTTATTTTTGAGACAGAGAGACAGAGCATGAGCAGGGGAGGGTCAGAGAGAGAGGGAGACACAGAATCCGAAACAGTTTCGGGCTCCGAGCTGTCAGCACAGAGCCCGACGCGGGGCTCGAACTCACAGACCGCGAGATCATGACCTGAGCTGAAGTTGGATGCTCAACCAACTGAGCCCCCCGGGCGCCCCCCCCCCAAAAAAAATATTTAAAAAATTTTTTAAAAACTTGTTTGCCTTTTTATTACTGAGCTGTAAGAGTTCTTTACATATTTTAGATGTAAGTCCTTTATGAAATATATGATTTGCAAATATTATCTCCTGTGATGGTCTTTTCACTTTCTCAGTAGTGTCCTCTGAAAAGTTTCTAATTTTGATAAGGTCCAATTAATCTGTTTTTTCTTTCCTGGCACCTTTTGGTGTCCTATCTAAGAAGGCTTTGCCTAATCCAAGGTTACAAAGGTTCACTGTTGTACTTTCTTCTAAGAGTTTCATAGTTTTAGCTCCTTCATGGACGTCTGAGATCCATTTTGAGTTAGTTTCGTATGTAGTGGGAGGTAGGGGTCCACCTTCATTTTTTCACATGTGGAGGTCTAGTTGTCCCATTTGTTGAAGAGGCTATTCTTTTTCCCATTCTATTATCTTGGCACTCTTGTTGAAAATTAATTGACCATAAATGTGAGGGTTTATTTCTGGACAGCATGAACTCTTTTTTTTTTTTTTAATTTATTTTTTTATGTTTATTTCTTTTTAAGAGGGAGAAAGACAGAGTGTGAGCAGGGGAGGGGCAGAGAGAGAGAGGGAGACACAGAGTCCAAAGCAGGCTCCAGACTCTGAGCTGTCAGCACAGAGCCTGACGCGGGGCTGGAACTCAATAGAATGTGAGATCATGACCTGAGCCGAAGTCGGGTGCTTAACCGACTGAGCCACCCAGGCGCCCCTCACACCATATTTCCATCCTTAAGTTGCTCCCTATGACATCACCCTGTTTATTTCTTCTATAAAGTCTGTGCTTTTTATGTTGATTTATTCATGTGTGTTATTGTCTGTCACCTCCAGTAGAATGTTCTGTCCATGAGGCAGGAACCTTATCCATCCAGTTAGACTTTGAATCCCTCTGTCTTAAATGATACTTTTGCACACAGTAGGTGCTCAAAACATGTTGAATGAGTGTATGGGTAACTTAAGCTATCTTCTAACAATTAATGAGCAGAATCTGCAAGTTGGGGAGTTTCAGAACTGTTTAGTGGTGTGTGTACCCTGGATTTGCAGATGTTGGCTTGCATTGGGATTATGTATTTACTTATTTATTTATTTTACGTTAGGACTTTTTATTTTTTATTTTTTTATGAGAGAGCGCAAGTAGGGAAGGGGCGGGGGGACAGAGGATCCGAAGCAGGCTCTGTGCTGACAGGCTGACAGCAGCAAGCCCGATGTAGGGCTCGAACTCACGAACTGCAAGATCACGAACTGAGCCAAAGCTGGACGCTCAACTGGCTTAGCCACCCAGGTGCCCCTTACGTTAGGACTTTTTAGACTGCAAGTTTGGGACACCAAAATTCAAAATGGTTCAAGAAAAAAAAATGTATCTATTCAAATGCCCATCAGCCACAAAATGGATGAATTGTGGTATATTCACACAACAAAATATTATACAGCAATGGGGATATACAAGCTATAATTACATGCAGTGATATGAACAAGACACTTGCTGTTGAGTGAAAGAAGGCAGACACAAGACTCATGAGTCTGCACTGTTAGAAGTCAGGGAAGTGGTCACACTTGCAGTGGGGGGCAGGGTTAGTGATTGGAAGTGATGAAGTTTTGGGGTGATGGGGGGGCTCGTGGGGGTCTGGAGCCCATGGCCAAGAAACAATTCTTGAAGACGTCTTTGGTGCAAAAAGGTGATTTTATTTAAAGCATAGAGACAGGACCCATGGGCAGGAAGTGCTGCCCCGGGGACCATGAGAAACTTGTTATATACTTGGGAGTTGGGAGAGGTAAAGTCAAGGGGAAGTTTTCAAAGAGATTTTCATATGCTAAAGAAGAGTCACAGGATACTGGAGGCCGAGTTATTGTCAAGCTAAGGTTGTTTAACCCTCCAGCAAAGCATTAACATTAAGACAGTAGGGAGCTCAAGTATTTGTTAATGGGCTGCAGGTTATAGGGAAATTTCATTTTTATCTGCCATTTCCTTCTTGCCTTTGTTTCCCATATCACCCCACACTGAGCTCTGCACTGGGTGTGAGGCCTGCTTGAGATTCTCTCTCTCCCTCTCTCTCTACCCAAATCTTGCCCTCTGTCTAAAAAAGATAAAATAACATAAAAATGCATGGAAGGACATACACCCCATCTCCTTGTAGAAGGAATGTTATGGACACACCGTAGGAAGAACGTATAAGGTGTATACGTATAAGATGTTGCCTTGGCCATCTTTGGAAAATAAACTCTGTCACCCCTGGACACCTGAGCACCACTAGAAAAATCACGTAACAGAAAAATTCATCAATTCATGATTCCAACCTCAGCTGCATCCTCGACACCACGTGGCAATTCTGCATGACTTCTCTGTTCAACTTGCTTCCATTTGCAACGGTTATTTCAAATCTTCCCTGCCGTAGCAGGCACTATATGCAGGTTTCACCCAACACCCGTTGCCAAAACCTTTTTCTCCTGCCCATGTCCTTTAAAGAGGTGAGAAAAGCTAAACACTCACTTTCCTAGCCTTGCGGGCGTCTGCGTGGCACAGTTCTGGCCAGCGAGATGTAATCAGAAACCCGCAGCAGGACTTCTGGGCAAGCTCTTGCCTCGAACAAGAAAACGAGGCATGGCGTGGAGGCAGCCAGCCATGTTGTGACTCTCAGGGAAAGGCCAAAAGATTTACAGAAATACAGGCCCCGGGATCACTGAGTCACTGAACAGATGCGGCTGTCTACCTCCAGGCTTCCTATCCTGGGAGAAAAATAGACCTTTCTTTGCTTAAGTCGCTGACAGCCAAGTTTTGTGTAGCCCGTACACCCACTCTTCTCAAGCCCCTGCTCCTCCAGCGTCTCCAGCCGGTCATTGACTTTCTCGCCAGCCAACCTACCTACTTACCTGCCTCCGCAGCCATCCTGCTTCCTCCTTCCCTCCTGTTATAATAGAAGAGGGGTCCCTACTCCGTGGATAGGGAAGAAGCGGGTGGTAAGCAGGGAGGTGCCGCTCATGCACCCGTTTTGGTTTTCTGGAAGCCTCATGTTCTGGGCCTCTATCCACTCATCAGCTAGGTGGCCCGAAACAGGCCATGACAGGAGAAAATACTTCGTGGGGTGGAGTCTAAGCCGTGCCCGATATTGTCAGGTGTAGGAAGGAGACAGTCCAAGTAGAGGGAACACTTTACAAGGCAGAGGAATGGAGCCTTGGAGGAACTGAAAATCCCAACGTGGCTGGGAGGGCAGAGCGCAGGAAGGGGTCAGGGGTCAGGGGTCAGAGTAAGCCCGGTTCTATAGACTAGGCAGGGTTATGATTTTGGTTTTAACCCTCAATCATTAGCACAAGAAGTGGGTTAAGCTCTCTGAGCCTCAATTTCTGCTTCGTAGAACACATTTTAGAACTCTCTGCCTAGTTGTCCGTCGCCTATACCAAGCTGAGAGTTCTTAAGGGCCAAGAAAGACCTATCTTTTTACGCATTTTTTGTATCCACCTGGAGGGCGCTTCATAAATGCCTGCCGGATGAATGAGATTGTGGAGTCCGCCACAGACTTCAGCTATTAACTCCCTCAGTTGGTACATTTTTGATTCTCCTCGCTCCTTTCCTTCTCTCTCCTTTTCTCGCCCTGCCTCCTCCCTCTCTCTTCCCCAGACCCTCCAATCCTCTCCCAGCTGCCCGCCTCCCTCTTCCCGGCCCGCCCCTTCGCCGCGTCGCGACGGCAGAGAGGGCCAGGCGGGCTTTACGGCAGCCGCGCTGCGGCGGGGCGGGGCGCCGGGCGGCTGGCGCGCTTGGCGGCAGCGGTGGGAGGCAGGCCGGCAGGCAGGCAGACGGAGTCGCAGGCGGGTGGCGGCGGCCGTGCTTGGTAGTGAGGGCGGGAGGGAGTGAGTCACTGAGCGTGTGTGAGGGAGGGAAGGAGCAAGCGGGCGAGCGAGCAGCCCGCGCCGTCCGCCCGCAGCACCAGCCAGGCCCCGCCGCCGCCCCGCAGCCCAGCGCCGAGGCCGGGCCGAGCCGAGCTGGGTCGGGCCCGGGCCATGCTGCTCACCGTGTACTGTGTGCGGAGGGACCTCTCCGAGGTGACCTTTTCCCTCCAGGTCGACGCCGACTTCGAGCTGCACAACTTCCGCGCGCTGTGCGAGCTCGAGTCCGGCATCCCCGCAGCCGAGAGCCAGGTACGCCGGGCAGCGAGCGGGGTCTCTCTCCAGGGCTGACCCTCCTGCCTTGGGGTCTCACGCCCTCCCTTTGCTGCTGGTGGGGAATTGGGGGTGGGGGAGCAGGATGGCCTCTCCCAGCTCGCCCCCGCGTCCGGGAGGGAGCTGGGATCGGTAGCTGCCCCCACACACTCCGAGCGTGGGGTGGGGTGCCATGGGAGGGAGCGGAGAACCTGACCGCAGACGCACCCACTGCAGCCCGAGGGGCGCGTGGACTGTTGGGCGGCCCGCCCCACCTTCTGGCTCTTTGGCCCCTTCTCCCCTAATAATCCCGAGTTTGGGGTGTTGTGGACCTAAGAAGAAGCTCCAGGTCTGCAAGAGTTCATACATTCTACTTCCCCAACCAGAAATACCAGTTTGGATCGCTGTGGTAGGTTGGTGTTCGTCTGGTTTTCTGGACAGAGCTCCTGCTTAAGCAGCCGTAATTTACCTTTAAATGTAGAGATCTGCACTCCTAGTGAAGGAAAAAGTTTGAGACTTGCCTTACCTTGTTTTGAGGCATTTGGAAGTGCCCTGTACCTTCTTCCCTACCGCATGGCATTTCTGATTAAATTCTCTAAAAAAAAAAAAAAAAAAAAGGTAGTTATTCGTTCATTTCAAGCTGTTTGTTTCTCTGGTTTCTTCGCTGGTAGTAGGCCAGAATCCTTCTTTATTTCAGGCCACAATTGAGAGTTTGGGTGGGTTCAAAGTTCAGAGCTTTATGAGGATATTTTCGTAAAAATGGCCTGGTATCTTCTCAGTGTGATTTGCTTGCTTGTTTCATTTCCCTACCATGCTGGAAGGAAATTCAGCTGCTCTTACATTTATTTGAAACGAGCAACATAATTTATTCTCAGAATGCCCTGAGCTGCCACCAAACAGAATCGGTGACGATAACTCTGGCCTTTACAGGAAAACATTTAAATCTCGACTTGATAAGTGGACCGTGGAGGACATGGTCTAAACGTTGAGAAAATTATAGAAGTCCTCCAGGGCCCCAGAATGTAAATCGTGATTTTCTACTGCAGTTATGAAATACTTCCAAAAACTATTGCCCAACTGCAGCGTGTTCTGCCCTTTATTGTGATAAACAGATGCGTCAATATTTTGTTCAGAAGTGAGTATGATTCCTTTACACGATGTGAACTTTAGAACCTTGGCATAAAGCTGAATGTCAAGAAAGAATAGGTTTCAGGATGCAAAGTGTCACATACGCAGACTGAAGCTGCAGAAGCTACAGAGAAATCGGTAAAAGGAAATTTTTGCAAATGTTTTCTAGAAACTGAGGAGCCAGTTCCTGCCCATGAATCCCTCACGTGAAAAACTAGGGAAGGACAGTTTAAGTAGGGAAGTAAACACAATTCTGAAATTTTTGAAGGTGGCATTTTCAGTTGCTCTCTACCCTCCGGTTCTGTTACCCTGGTTATAATCACCAGCTGGCGGGGGGAATAAAAAATGAAAATGTGAGTTGGTCTCATCGTTATTTGGGCTTGGGAGAAGATGAAAAGTGGCATTGCCTCTCTTCCTGCCCTTTTTGAGACGGGCTGTAACAAATTTAAAGGAAGAGACCGATGGAAAAGACCGTTGGTTGTATGGTCCAGGCAGGCACAGTCCTCTGTTTGCTCAGGATGTTAGGAGTACCTCCCTAATTGAACAGTTAGGCTAACTCCACAAATTCTTTCTTATTCATTAGGTCACCATTTGGGCATTTACTTCCTCCCAAGCCAAATTAGCATATGGAAGCCTGGGCTCCAACTTCTGTGAAGCCTGTATTACCCAGCTGTAAACAGCTCCCCTGTTTCAAGTTTGTTCCGTTGGCTCCATTGTAACCTAACACAGTATCTATTTTAAGATGTCTGGTGGTCGGTTGTCTTTTCAGTTGCTTGCCTTGCCCATGAGGCAGGAACAGGATCCACCCTAGACACACACTTGAGTCATTTCCGTTCGCCAGATCATAACGGTAAACATTATAGTTTTACCTACAAATACATCACTTACTTGAGGCCCCCACTCCCACTGCTTCACCGCCCAGGTTCTCCCATGTTACTCCTCTTCCCCTCCTAGTCCTCCTGCTCTGCCTCATTCTTGTTTACCTTCTCTGTCCTCTTCCTTCACCTCCATTTCTAAAGGGAGTTTCTTCTTTTTCTTTTCTTCTTTCTTCCTTCCTTCCTTCCTTCCTTCCTTCCTTCCTTCCTTCCTTCCTTCCTTCCTTCTTTTTTTTTAAGGTTCCTGGCTGTTCTTTCCTGTCACGGTGTGTCCAAACCACGGATCTCCAAACTTTTTCAGTCAGGTTTCCCTTTGCGTACAGTGTTTTGGAACATACATCTTTGCGATACATATAATAAATTATAAACATGAACTAATGTTATATGCATTATATATATGCGCACATATGTATAGAATAACCGTAAACATCAATGAGTGAAGTAATAACCTTATGTCCATTATAAACAACCATAGGATAGCGTTTAAGGAAGGATGAACTAAAATAAATGGACATGAAAATTCTAATATTTTTCTGTTCCCACATCTTTAAAGAACTGTTTCGCATGCCTGCCCCACATTGGGGATCACTGGTTTAGAATTCACACTTTCACATCAGCATCAGTCGTGCATAAGTATGCACTTGGAAAAGACGTTACTTTTTAACAGCTCTAGTCTGATTATAGTAGTTATAATGTGATGATAACAAATTTAGAATAGAAACTATCTCTACTTGTACATGTGATTAAAGCTGGGCATGTTCCATCTCTTAATACAAGTGTGGGCTTGGAAGCCGGTCATGGCTCTGTTTGATGCTTTGATGCAGAACTTGGCTGGGCAGACTTCAAAGAATTATCAGAACTTAGCTTCACTTTAAATTAATGTCTTTGTATTTTTGAAACATCATTATAATTTACCCCTGTAGGTGGCATGTGGTAAAAACGTGTGCAGAATGTGTAAGGACTCTCAAAAGGCGTGTGTAAATGCCAAGTAATAGCAGTAACTGTATGATCCTGGGAAAGCAGCTCTGTACACAGCGTGATTTGTCGCTTGTAAAACACTATTTTAAAGCAGTGGAAACTGAAATTTTCTATTGTAGCTGGTTTTGACATACTTATTTTTGCAGGTAATTTTTGTGAATTTTTTTTCTGATAAATACTGCATATTCGTTTTAGAGAATTTGTAACTTCTAGGAAAAGGTAGAGAGAAAAAGTTATTACCATATCACCCCAAAACAACTGCAGTTTACTTCTTAGTGTATCTTTTTCCCTAAGCTTTCTTCCTTTTCTGTGGTTACAATGTAACTTTTAAACATGATGCCCTGAACTGTACCAACAGTTTCAACTTTCTTTGCTCAGTCAAAGCTACATTGTCAGCATTTTTCCCTGACATTTCAAGTTCTTCAAATTTATAATTTTAATGGGCATGTAATACAGATGTACCGCAGTTTATTTATTTATTTTATTTTTTATTTTTTTTTTAATTTTTTTTTTCAACGTTTATTTATTTTGGGGACAGAGAGAGATAGAGCATGAACGGGGGAGGGGCAGAGAGAGAGGGAGACACAGAATCGGAAACAGCTCCAGGCTCTGAGCCATCAGCCCAGAGCCTGACGCGGGGCTCGAACTCACGGACCGCGAGATCGTGACCTGGCTGAAGTCGGACGCTTAACCGACTGCGCCACCCAGGCGCCCCATACCGCAGTTTATTTAAAAATTTGCCTATTGCTGGGCGTTTGAATTGGGGGAATCGGAAGCAGTTATTAGTAACATTTCCATGGATATCTGTATTTAAGGCTTCGTCCCCATTTCTGATTGTTTTCTCAGGATGTATTCTTAGCTATGGAATTGCCAGGTCTTTTGAAAGGCTTTTAGTAACTGTTGCCATATTGTTTTCCAGAAGGGTTGGAAAAGTCAAGCTGTGGCATGAGATGTATATGTAGATCACTTGGCATATGGTAGGTTTTCAATTAATGATAGATAGTATTAGGGAGTCATTCAGATGTGAGTCCAAAGATTCTGTGGCCAGTTGATGGTCCTTACTGCTAGAAATGTATTGTTACGATTTCTGTTGATTGAAGACAAGAAGGCATTTGACCTCATGCTTAATGATGGAGTTGTTGGTCTTGGAGTTGTTTTAGTCTATTGTTAAATGTTGATTAAGCTTAGAATTTGGTCTCTAGGGTGCTGCCTCTGGAGTAAGTACTAGCAGTGTGCCAGTTTCGCAGCTTGAGACTTGTAGATGTGTAAATTGTCCTGTTGTGTGTCCTCATAACTGGCAAAACCAGAATTTTTAGCTTTGCGGCCTTTGAGTTGGATATTATGGTGCAAAGCATCACCAATGCCTTACCGAAACTCTTTGTTTTGACTGGTGGAAATGTGAAACCATTGGTCTGATGGTACACTCTTGTTGAGCTGGAGACTCATTCAGATTTCTTATAGGACTTTAGCTATACAATAACTGTCTTTCTTAGACTCTTAAGCCTGTTTTAACAAAAAGAAGTCGGTTCTTTGTGGCAGTTATAATTTCAGCTAAGCTTTTGTTTATTTCATTTGCGTCCTTGGACTAAAATGGAATACGCCTGCTGCTTTGTCAGAGTGAAGAATGTTTTGCTCCTCACCCACATTCTTCAGTCTAGTATTTTTAGGAAATGGGGCAAGATAGCAATGTTCCACATGCCATGTATGTGTTTGGTGGTAGTTATTACCAGGATCTTAAACTTTTATTGTTAGATCAGGCTGTCTTTATTTTAAAAAGTTTTTTTTTTTAATGTTTATTTATTTTGGGGGGAGAGAGAGAGAGACAGAACACGAGCAGAGGAGGGGCAGAGAGAGAGAAACACAGAATCCAGGCTCCAGTCTGGGCGGTCAGCACAGAGCCTGACGTGGGGGCTCGAACTTACCAACCCTGAGATCATGACCGGAGCCGAAGTTGGACACTTAACTGACTGAGCCACTCAGGCGCCCCCAGGCTGTCTTTATTTAAAAAAAAACAAAACAAAACAAAACAAAAAAACATTTTCAGCGTCTGCTGAGGAAAGACTATGTCCACTGAACATCGTGGAGTTTTTACGTGGAAGTCCTGAGTGAGGAGCCGCCAGTGGTCCTTCCTCATGTTGAGGACACATTGATACGCTGAGCGGTGCACAGGGTTTTGGTTCCCCTGGTGAGCATAGGCCCTCAGTGGTGACAGATGGCTTAATAGCTCTTGTTCAGGTCACCAGCTAATTGAGCTGGCCGCATTGGACTTCGGTTTGGGAAAGTTGTATGTGGTCCTTAGGGAAGATCTCCCGCTCTTGGAGTCAGGCAGGTGTTCCAATCCTAGTTCTATTCTTTTTCCTTTTTTTATTTTCTTATTTTTTTCTTTCTTCATTTTTTGGCACAAAATAGATGGTTTTATCAAAGCACAGGGATAGGACCTGGGGGCAGAAAAAGCTGCCCTAGTTATCTTCTTAATAGCTGTGTAGTCTCAGGTCACCGCACTGTTTCCCTGTCCGCAACATGGGATGAATAGTGCCCACCTAGAAATGAGAGGGCGTAGGATGAGGCGGGAGACTGTGGGAACCCGTTCCGATACAAGTGCAAGCCGTGGTTGTGTCTGCTGTGTCTTCATATGGCCCTCCAGGTAGCATTGCCAGCTTGAAGACAAGTCTGCTGCCGGATAGGAGCATTTTGATGCTCTGCGTTTGATTCCCTGTTGTAGATAAATGTTCTTCTATAAGTACAGTTAAAATGTGTCAACCGATTGTATCTCTGCATGTACTGATCGTTGAGTTTCTGAACCTGGAAAATTAAGGAGCGGGCCGTGGACCACTCAGTACCTTTGTTGTAAGGTGGCTTCGCTGTGTTGAGGCCACCTTGTGAGAGCCGCCTGCGTGGCATTTCTCTTGTCATGCCTCCTCTTGCTTGGTGCACACCTCAGCTGGGACACTTGTCCCTTCAGATTTATGGTAGTTTTCCCAACAATTCCACAAGTTACCATACGGCTCGCGGGTTGTATTGCAAACAGTCTGTGTTGATTCTGTTGTACTTTCGCCACGCGATATGTGGTTACATGAGGGAGACTAGCAGAGTGTGAGTGGATCGATGCAGTGACAGTCCAGTGGACTGCTGGAACATGTTTTAACTTTGCAGGTTGAGGGTAAGAACCAACGATACGTTTTCTAATGCTGTATAGAACTTAGGAAGTGTAATCGGCCCTATGAGCTCTGAGTCCATTTTTTTGTGCACCCCCAGAAGTATTTGGCTTTGGAAATTCGGTTTCCTGTTGGTTCTATTTCTCATGTCAGTGTAGATTCTGAGAGCAGATATGACAGATCATTTTTCCCAGCAGAAATCTGTATTTTTCAGGTTGCGTGTCAGGCAGTCTTCCTGCAAGAGCTGTGAGGACATGTGAGGAAGCACTGTAAAATGGTAGTGTAGCAGACCGACCTGGAAGGGACAGCTGTAGCGATTATCTAACCCCAACTGCTTGCTTGACAAACGGAAATGTGAAGCCAGGACCAGCGGAGGGATGCGGCCACTGTCAGAGCCAGGACAGGACTCAGGTTCCTCGGCTTGCACGTGGCCTGGTGCACAGCAAATCTTTTGAAAGAAAACCTTTCAAAGCCTGAGTTTATTCTGAATACCCCGCTGCAGTATGTAATGGTGCAGGATAGGTTTTATGTTCCTTTGTGGTTAAACTGTAGTGTGCCCTTTCTCCGTTTTTTTCCTACAGCACAGTGTTTCACCTGCTTTTATGCTCTCAGGTTTTTTCAGTGTTTGATTGCACATCAAAAAATGTTTTTATTAGTAGTACATCCCTGATCCAGTAGAAGAGAAGGAAGAATGCAGAACAGGCAGTATTTGGAAAACTTTTAGACTTGCCAGCGTGCAAGATCATTTAAAAATGGATACATTGGGATGTCATATATAGCTTGGTGTCTGTAATTGACAAGACTGTATCCCATACTGGAAAGTTGCTAAGAGAGTAAATGCTAAAAGTTCTTGTCACAAGAAAAAAAAAAAAGACATTTGAGCTACGCAAACAAAACAAATTCCTGTCCTCAGGTAGCTTCCATTTTAGTGGAACAGAAAGACAATAAAGAAACAGATATTTAAGGAGCTCCTGGGTGGCTCAGTTGGTTAAGCGTCCAACTTTGGCTCAGGTCATGATCTCATGGCTTGTGAGTTCAAGCCCCGTGTGGGGCTGTGTGCTGACAGCTCAGAGCCTGGAGCCTGCTTCAAATTCTGTGTCTCTGTCTCCCTCCCTCCCTCCCTCCCTCCCTTCCCCTCTGTCTCTCTCTTTCTCCCTCTCCCCGCCCCCCTTGCTCTGTTTCTCAAAAATAAACAGTAAAAAGAAATAGATACTTAATATGAGAGGGTTTTTAAATAGGGTGATTAGTGTCGGGCTCTGGAAAGGTTATATTTGATCAGAGACCTTAATAAAGAGTGGCTGGGAGGGCGTCTGGCTGGCTCAGTTGGTAGAGCATGTAATTCTTGATCCTGAGTTCAGGCCCCATGTCAGGCATAGAGCTTACTTAAAAAAGAAATAGCTGGGGAAAGAACATCCTTCAGGTAGAGAGAAGAGCAAGCGAAACCGTCCCAAGGGGGAAATTGATCACATTATTTAGGGAGCAGCAATTACGGTATGAAATGAAGTCAGAGGGGGAGCCAGGGACCAAATTGTTGGACTAGCAGGTAACGGGAAGGATTTAGGCTTTTATTCCAGGTGTGATGGGAAACCATTGGAGGGTTTTGAGCAGGCTGGGACTGACATCTGGTGAAAAGGGACACTGTACGTAGTCTTCCTGCTTTGTTCCATGTTCTTTCTCAGTGCTTCATATGGTGAACTCTTTTCTGGTTGTAGATCGTCTATGCTGAAAGACCCCTCACAGACAACCACAGATCGCTGGCTTCCTACGGCTTGAAAGATGGGGATGTCGTGATTTTACGACAGAAGGAGAATGCAGACCCTCGGCCTCCAGTGCAGTTCCCAAGTAAGACATCCCTGACACAGGCATCAGGAGACAGCATAATGCAGTGGGTCAGAGCTGTGGACTAGCTTCGGGTTCAGACTGCGGGGTACAGAGTCTGCCCCTTGGTCGCTCTGTATCCTTGGCTGGGTTGACTGCCCTATGGCCGTTTTCTTAGCTGTGAGAATAGCGCAGCCTTCAGCCTGCCCTCGATAAATGCTCGCTTCTGTTGTGATCGATGAGAACTGTATCCTGGGGAAGGACTTAAGAGGCCATCTATGCCCGTGATTCCTGACTGACTTTTGCTGCTTCGTGTCTGGCCCTCAGCTAGCAGGCCTGTGTGGAACATTTTACAGTCAGCCAGGCACTTGCATGCACATTGCACAGGATCACGGTTGTAGGGGCAGAGATTCCTCTTTCTAATTTGTTATCGTTATTAGACAAAGCTCCGGTTTTAAGTAATGTCTTCAGTGTTACATAGCTAATAAGTGAAGGCATAGGAACTAAAACGTGGTACTTTTCCCATTGTACTGAGCTTTATGAACATTAGGCAGCCGGACCACCAGATTCTGCTCCTTGCCCACCAGCCGTGTTAATCATGTGAAAGGAAACTTACCTGTCTCGGTGTTCTATCAGGAATAGGGGTTTATAGTCTGGAATCTGTGCTTTGGGATTTAGAACGTTTCTGTGTCCCTGAAATAAATACTCACAGTTGCATGGCTGAGAGCATGTGTGCATTTGATAGGGAGAGGGTTAGTAGCTTTCTCTGGATACTCAGAGGGGTTCACGATCTACAAAAAGTGGCCAGGGTTCTGATGTGGAACCCTTTAATGAAATGTAATAGTGTTTTCCATTCCCTGCTGTCTTCAGGTGGATTTGTTAAATACTGTTTAGTCTCTAGGTCAGTGGGTTTAAAGTTTGTGGTTCCAGCTGATGAGTGTCTGGGTGATGATGACACATGCCAGCTTAGAACACAGTGCATCCATTCAGCCCGAAACTGGGGCTGTAAGAGACCATCAAGCACTGTTCCTCCCAGATCGGGATTACATTAGTCCCTTGGGTCTACTGTTAAACTTTAGAAAGAGTTGTGACTTGAACATGTCAGTCAAAAAAAAACCAAAACAAATCTTCCTTTGGTTAATTTGGTGAAATTGTTAGTTCTGGAGAATTTCTGGTTGCTGTTTTTTTTTTTCCTGTACTGTTGCATGTAGACAAGAGAGCCAGTCTGTGGGGGAAGGGAGCAGATCTAGTCGTTCAGGTAAACAAGTTTTTCAGAATTACTCTGAAGCGAATGGACTCTCAAGATAAGTGTTACCATGGTTAAAGATAAAAACTTCTTACCCTGCAGAGAAGGCCCACCCATATATGTGTTGCTGGTTGGTATGGATTAACTCCCTCATGCGCATGTGTGTATATACACACACACACACAAGCTGCCAGCTGAGGTCTGTTGGAAGGAAGTGGCTAGTTGAACCCATGCTAAAGAGGCAGAAGATGATATTTGAGTTTAAGGATTCCCTTCTTCTAGGGGCGCCTGGGTGGCTCAGTCGGTTAAGCAACCGACTTCAGCTCAGGTCATGATCTCACAGGTCATGGGTTCGAGCCCCGCGTGGGGCTCTGTGCTGACAGCTCAGAGCCTGGCACCTGCTTCGGATTCTGTGTCTCCCTCTCTCTCTCCGCCCCTCTCCTGCTTGTGCACACGCTCTCTCTCTCTCTCTCTCTCTCTCTCAAAAGTAAATAAGCATTAAGGAAAAAAAAAAAAAAAGGATTCACTTCTAGTTGATTTCCCAGCAGCTTCAGGATAGCCTCAACTTGAAACAGGAGTGACCATCAGGCACATTTTTGGGATTGAGGAGATACACATTCGCTCAGTTCTAGCCCCTAATTCTGTCTCTGCTCTACCTTTTTTTTTTAAGGTAAAGCTCCTTTTCTAAGTAACCGTTTTGTTGAGATATCATTCGTATACCATACAGTTCACTCATGTAAGGGGTGCAGTTCGTTTTTAGTCTATTCCCAGTTGTGCAGCCATCACCACAATCAATCGTAGCACATTTTTATCACCTTATAAAGAAACTGGACCTATTAGCAGTCATTCCCCATCTGCCTCCAAGCCTTCTAGCCCTAGGCAACCGTCAGTCTACTTTCTGTGTCTGTATTTTCCTATTCTGGACATTTCATAGAAATGGAATCCTATAACACGTGGGTCCTTTGTGTAAGGCTCCCTTTTATTTTCCTTTCATTTTAATAAGGTCAGCTCAGCCTGGATTATAGAACCCAGGAGTTGTAGCCTCTAAATCTGTTCTATCTTTTGGTGACCTCAGCACCGAAAACCTGAGCAAGTTCCTTTTCTTCTGTTTGTCTCTCCTGTAAAACGATTACACCTGCTAGCTCCCTGGGGGTGTGAGAGGCGTTAGCCGTGGTGTGCAGATGAAAGTGTAAGTTCCAAGAACGAGTATGTTTAGCAGAGACTTGTAGAATTTTACTTCTAAAATTTATGCAGTTCACTTGGTTTGTATAGTATTCTTTACCCCAGGTGTCTGGGCCCTTTGAGAAATGTCAAAACAAACTAGGGTTTTTCTCGAGAATTACATCCAGATTTATGTGGTTATGTTTATTAAGACTAGCTTTAATTTAAAAAAAATACAAGTAAGTAGGGGCTCCTGGGTGGCTAAGTCAGTTAAGCGTTCGACTTCAGCTCAGGTCATGATCTCACAGTTCGTGGGTTCGAGCCCCGCGTTGGGCTCGGCTGACGGCCCGGAGCCTGGAGCCTGCTTGGGATTCTGTGTCTCCCTCTCTGCCCCTCCTCCGCTCACGCTCTGTCTCTATCTCTCAAAAATAAATACACGTTAAAAAAAAATACAAGTAAGTAAAAACTTGTTATGTCTTCTGGGATATTGTAGAAGCCAAAAATCTAAGGTCATTACCATTGACTGCACCCCTTTTCTGCTCTTGGTTGTGGGCTCACTCAGACTGCAGTCTTTATATTCAGTCAGCGTGAGAGAGCGCCGAGGAAGGGTCAGATGTCTGCAATTACCATTTACCGTGTACCGTTCACCAGCAAATGTCCCGCTGTGCCCTTCAAATGCTTGTGTGTCACTGGAAGTAAACTCTGAACCGATTTTCCCCAACAGACTTGCCCCGCATAGACTTCCGTAGTATAGCCGTGCCTGGCACGTCAGGCTCCCGGCAGCGCCGGCCACCAGGAGCACAGCAGTCCCACTCATCTCCCGGAGACATAGCTTCATCTCCTCAGGGCTTGGACAATCCAGCCTTGCTCCGAGACATGTTGCTGGCCAACCCCCATGAGCTGTCCTTGCTGAAGGAGCGCAATCCACCCCTGGCGGACGCTCTGCTCAGTGGAGACCTTGGTAAGCTTATCGACGTGGAAGACTGGCGAGTGGACCTGAGGGGAAGTAGTGGTGTCGCGGCAAATTTGGAGAAACTCCAGCAACGGGGGTGTTCAGCCCGCCAGGTCACGTGGTCTCTCGAGCACCCCGGTTGCTCTCCGAGAGGTAAAGCGATGCTGATGCCAAAGGCGGAGTTGAGTGGCGGTCGTGGTCCAATTTTGCAACAGCACAGAGTTCGGAAATCCAGCTTGACCAGCCTCCTCCACTGACGGTTTTTTGTTCCCCCAAATTATTTTCACGGCGCATAACCCAGGGACTGGTATTCTAACCTGTTGGGTGGGAGCCTCAGTTGAAGAGAGCACCAGTAAGCCAGCTGATGCCGGGTGAAATGCTCTTAGGGACAGAAAACCTGTCCGGTGCCATCAGCCCGTACGGCAAAACGGAGCCCTCTGACTCTCACCCACCCCGAGATTAACGATAGTCGGTTGTCGCCAATAGCTTGTTGCTGTGTTTGAGCCATTCTTGAGCTAAACAGAATGTTTGTTTTTAGTCAGCTCGATGAATAAAGTTTTTCTCTGTAAATTTCTCCAGTTTTACTCCTGGGTTTATGCAACTGTGCTGATTACATCTTAAAGCATAACAGATGCTCAATAGCTCATTCTTCAGCTGACCCTTTTTTAAACTGAGGTAATAATTACCTAACAAATGCGCAGGTTTTAAGTATACAGTTCATTGAGTTTTGGCAAAGTCCTGGAGCCGCCACCCTAGTCAAGATGATAGAATGTTTTTCTCGCTCCCGAATTCCAGTATGTCCTCTGCTGGTCAGTTTCCGCCCCTTATGGGCTACTGCCGTTCTGAAAATCGTGTTTTCAGTCTCCGGGTTAATGGAATCACACAGTATGTCCTCTCTCATGTCTGGCTTCTTTTGTCAGCTTAATGTGGTTTAGATTCCTTCATGTTGTGTGTATTGATAGTTCGTATGACCGTTATCTTGGTGTCTTTAATTTCTTCCGCAATATATCTAATCGCCAAAGACCGTGATGATGGCACGTAGAACTTGATACATTTAAATACACCCTCATTTAAGAAACAGCGAGACTAAGGTGGTTCTTGTGACATACATTTTATAGCAAGCAGTATTTTCTCTTTGCTCATTTTCCTGCCTGTTACTCACGAGGTCCTGTAGGTGGGCTGACAATAGTTTGCATGTAACGTCCCTGGTCTAAGCAGGGGGTATTCTCAAGGGAGTGGCAGGAAAAGCGGGGCTGTAGTGCCCTGTGGGTCTCGTGTGGGTCTTGTGTCGAAGCGTAGCTGACACACGGTGTTGGCGGTAGAGTCACGGGGGCACAACACGGTGATTCGTCATGCCCACGCCTTGTGCTGTGCCGCTGCAGGTGTGGCTGCCCTCTGTCCCCACGCAGGGCTGCGACGGCACCACCGACTCCATGCCCTGTGGTCGCGCTCTGTTTTAGTTCTGCGTAATAGGTTAATGAGGGCAGTGGGGAGGAGAGGAGTGGGGTCATTCATCTGCCCCACAGATGGCTGTTTCTGCGGATTTAAATTGAAATGCTGTTACCTCTGAGTAGAAACAGTGTGACGGGTAATCTCTTACCGGAATAAATGACTTTTGAAAATACTTTATTTCTTGACACTGAATTTAGGGGACGTAGTCTTGCCTCAGAAATAGCAAGTAAACGTAATTGCCCACTTAAAATAATTTCTCAGGCATCCTTTCTGCATCTTTTATAGTTGTATTTTGAGAAACGATTTGATCTGGAAAAGTACTAACAGAGAATGGAAATAGCGTGGTACTCAAGATGTCCCCCTTGTTGTTTTTGTAGAGAAATTTTCTAGGGTCCTGGAGGGACAGCAGCAGGACCGAGCCCGGAGAGAGCAAGAAAGGATTCGTCTCTTTTCTGCCGACCCTTTTGATCTTGAAGCTCAGGCAAAAATAGAGGAAGATATAAGGTAATGACCCTTTACCTAAAGAGCAAGCTTTAGAGAATCCAGATTTCCCAAATGACAGGTGACCTGGTATCAGTCGGGCATCTACTTTGAGGCAGCGTCCTTGTTTTGTATGTGAGATAGTAATTTCAGCCTTTTAGGTCACTCTCCTCTTCCGTTCTCCTCATGTGTGGATTTAACGTTACAAAGTACGGGTACCTAACTTGGGGACTTTAATGAAGACTCCCGGACTAGCCTGCGGTGCATCATTAGAGCAACCCCATCAACCTGGGGTCGATGACCCCAGGACTGCGCACAAGCTCCAGTTCGGTGAGACTGTTAGGCTGTCTGTACAGGCTGATTGGAATCTCAGTCCTTACACATAATACACGAGCCCTAATTAAACCCAGGCTTGAGCATGATTGGATTAGAGAGCCCTGTACGGATGGGCCCTTGTAGTCCTGGGTCTATTTTCCTTCTGCAGTTCTTGAGCTGGCCTCCGTGGATAAACAGACTGCCAGACACATTTCCAGCTCCAGTTTCCCTAATGCTGTGGCTCGCACCTGGGGCTAAGGTAGCATCACATAGGAAGCTTTAAAACTGCAGATGGCTTGTGCTCTGTTCCCCAGTCAGGCAGATGGATCAGCATCATAAGAGGTGGGGCCAGAGCAGGTATAATGATGCTAATGCCAACCTCAGTCACATCATGAGTCACAAGAACGATGCTGGTCAGTGGTCAGTCCGTTAGAATGAAAGCACAGCTGCCCCCCCACCCCCATGTCGTGTTTGTTGCGAACGGTGAAGGCTTTAGCACAGTAGTCCCTCACCTTACCCGTGGTTAATTGCAGTCCAGGAGCAGGTACATCAGAAGGTCAGTAGTAGCCCAACAGTGTCACAAGGCCTGTGTCATTCGCCTCAGTTCATCTTATTACGTGGGCATTTTAGCATCTCCCATCATCACAAGAAGGGTGAGTACAGTACAGTAAGGTATTTTGAAAGAGACCACGTTCACATAACATTTGCCACAGAGTATTGTTCTGTTTTATTACTGTTGCTTATCTCTTACTGGGCCTCACTGATAAATTAAGCTTTATCATAGGTGTGTATATATAGAAGAAAACATAGTATGTATAGGGTTCAGTACTGTCTGTGTTTTCAGGCATCTGCTGGGGGTCATGGAATGTATCCCTTGCAGATAAGGGGGAACCACTGCATAGCTAAGAAGAACTGTGTTCTTTGTCATAATCTTTGGTTACTTGGATGAAGCCTGACTTGGTCATTACATTATACTGTCAGCTTAGAAGTCAGATAATGGTTATTTTATCTTTTATTTCTCTGACTACATTTGAAATCAGGGACATTTAAATTGTATGCCGGAATCAGTTGCCAGACCTTAGCCATTCACTTGTGTTCTTGTTGATTGAGTGTCCCCATTAATTGCGTCAGTATATTAGTATATGAATATTTTGGGGGGAAAAAAAAACCAAAAACATCTCACTAATTAAATCTACCCAGAGAAATAGGAAGAAATTTGTGTTCTCTGAACTTGACCACATTGCAGTTGTAAGGGAACCTGACATAATTCTCAAGAATAGATGTGTTCAGGGGCTCACTCAGTTGAATGTCCGACTCTTGATTTCAGCTCAGGTCATGATCCCAGGGTCATGGGATTGAGCTCCGTGTCAGTCTCCGTGCTGAGCACAGAGCCTGCTTGGGACAGTCTCTCTCTCTTTCTCTGTCTCTCTGTCTCTCTCTCTCCCTCTCTCTCTTTCTCTTTCTTCTCTCCTTCTTCTCTCCTTCTCCCACCCTCCCTCTCTCCCTGCCCCTACTTTGCCCTCCCCCCTGCGGCCACACTTTCTCTGTCTCTCTCTTTCTCAAGTGAAGGATTATGGACCAGAAATGTCTCACGTAAGAGATGTAAAGTCTCCCCCGTAGAGTGATGAGAGAGAAATGAGAATCCACATGTGGTGCGTGTGGTCTTGCGTGCTCGCTCGCTCTCTAAAAAAAAAAAAAAAAAAAAAAAAAATTTTTTTTGCTCCACCCACCAGGGGGGGGGGGGGGGGGGGGGGAGGGTATCGTAGCCGAACCCTGACCCTGCACTGTTGGCAGAGTAGCCATGAGATGAGGCATATTTGTGTAGCTCGAGGGGGGCCCGGGGAGGTTAAGGAAATGGGAAAACGCGTACAGTCTTTTCAAGAAGACCTTGTGCCTCTGAAGAGACTCCGAATAGCCAAAGCAACCGGTATTATCTCAGAAGATTTTTTGCTGAAATTTATCTTGGTTGGAGTCAACGCAAGGTCAGGAATATACAACTAATTTTAGTTCATCTCTAAATTTAATAATGTGACAAAAGAGAAAAGCTGTGTAGTTCTGTCAAGTGCCTTTTGAGGTTTTATTTGGTATGTTGCACCAGCGATTCCTCAGTGCATGTATACATTGGAGTATAATAGCTCGCATGTTTCCCCAACTAAATTAAACGAGGGTGCCTTGGACTTCCTGAGAAGTTTCATGCATTTTACAGAATGACTCCTAAAACCAGCAGTTCATTTGAGGTGGAGTATTACCGCGACAAGGACAGGCACCGCACTTTAGAACAGGGCTCCGCAAACTTCGTCCACAGAGAGCCGGACCGTGAAGATCATAGGGTTCGCAGGCCGTGCTGTCTCCGCCACCAGCACTCCCGTCCGCCAGCGCGGTATCAGAGCGACCATAGATGACCCCACAGGATGGAACTGAGCGGTGTGGCTGCGCTCCCGTGGAAGTTCGCGGGTGGCGGCCTGTAATGTGCTAGCCCCTCGCCTGCGGTTATAATTTCTCCCCAATCTTGGGCCCTGTTCTGTTAGTATCTCAGTCTTCGGATACGTTGCCCAGCGCCTGCCCTCGTTTCCATTAATGTTGGTAGTGTTTGGTGATGTTTTTAAAAGGAGGTTGGGAACGGAGACCGGAGATGTAGAAGTAAGCTGGAACTCCCTTTTACATCCCTTTCTCGTTTAAGAATTAGAATCTGTCTAATGTTTGAAGAAATCGTTTGCTGGACCAAGTCAACTGTGTGTGTGTGTGTGTGTGTGTGTGTGTGTGTGTGGTTTTCCAAGTGATAGCCAGGTAGCTAAAGAGGTGTGTGCGTTTTCCCAGCATCTGCTCTTTTGGTAACATTGTGTCGTAGATGCCGTATCCCTCTTAGCAGTCCTGGAGTAGGAGTCCTCTCCCTCGTTTACAGATAGAAAACCCAGTCTTGGAGGTGAAGCAGCGGGTACAGCAGGGCAATTGAAACCTCTGTGTTTTGGGGGGCACCTGGGTGGCTCAGTTAGTTAAGCGTCTGACTTCGGCTCAGGCCATGATCTCACAGTTCGTGGGTTCAAGCCCCGCGTCAGGCTCTGTGCTGACAGCTCAGAGCCTGGAGCCTGCTTCAGATTCTGTCTCCCTCTCTGCCCCTCCTCTGCTTGCACTCTGTCTCTTTCCCTCTCAAAAATAAATAAACATTAAAAAAAAAAAAAAAGAAACCTCTGTGTTTCACCTTTGCCAACCGTCTTTAGTGCACTGGACACAGGACGCATACCCAGACGCCCAGTAAATCCCCGTGAAAACGGAAGCATTCACGAGATTCTGACATTCTACAGAATTAAAAGATTTTGACTCTTACTCTCCCGAGATTCAGTTTCCCGTATCTGAGCTTGTAAAGGGAGCAGAACTGTTTGGCGTGGAAGTAATTTGTGTGCCTTTAGATTTTCTGCCAGCTGTATCTCACTACCTCACCTGCTGCAGGGGAGAGTGCCAATGTCCACTTCCAGGGCTCAGCTGCTATAATAGGGGCAAAAGGTACGGACACATCTGGTGTGTGGTTTCTTTTTTTCAGTCCGTGAAAGGGAGACTTCATTGAGGCACACAGGCTCTGGGGTTCGGTCAGGGGGCCGTCCCTCAGGCAAAGAGCTGCTGGAAGGGCCTTATCTGACCTTCCTCTTGGGGCGCAGGTCATTGCTGTGACCACACTTCTTGTTGCAGTTGGCAGCGCAGGGGTGCAGGCGAGCAGAGCTCTCACGGCAGGTATCTTGTTGCAGTTGTATTTCTGGGCCGGCTGGCGGAGGGAAGGCTGGAGGGTGCCACCCCCTGGCCAAGCACCAAGCACCGGGCGGACCCTTCCTGGGTATTGTAGCCATCCTCCAGCTGTTTGCCCACAGAAATCAGAAGCCGTTGCTCAGGCGAGATGCCCTCCTGGTCTTGGATCGTAGCCTAGACATTCTCACTGGTGTCACTGGGCTCAACCTCAAGGGTGGTGGTCTCGCCCATCAGGGTCTTCACAAAGATCTGTGTCTCTGCGTCTGCCACTCGTGGAAGAGAAAGCCCCGTCTGTGTTTAATACTGTGACTTCTGAAACAGATGATGATTTCGCTCTACTTGGTTTGTTGCAGGCAACAGAACATCGAGGAAAACATGACAATAGCTATGGAAGAGGCTCCTGAAAGTTTTGGCCAAGTGGTGATGCTTTATATTAACTGCAAAGTGAATGGACATCCTGTGAAAGCCTTTGTTGACTCAGGTGACGTCTCTGTCTTTGTCCATCTGTCCGACATTCTGACCTGACACAGGGAGAAGGGGAGACTCTGCTTTAACCCCGGTAAAGATGGCAGTAGTCCTCCAGGCTGCCACCTGACCAGCCCGGGGGTTACGTCACTTGCCAAGCTCTGTGTGTGTCTGTTGTCACAGGTTTATTTTTGTAATCTTTTTTTTTGTTTTTTTTTTTAAGTAAGTAAGTAAACTGTGCCCCAAACGTGGCACTTGAACTCACAACCCTGAGATCAAGGGTCGCTCGCTTTACTGATTGAGCCGGCCAGGCACCCGTAATCATTTCTTAACTGGTTTTGTCTTTCGCAGGATCTCCTTTAACTTCCTACCTCCCCTTATTTGGCATCCTGAGTTTTTTGGATATCTCTGTGGGAAATTTGGGAGTAAATGGGTTCAGCAGAAGGAGCTGTAAGAAGCGGCTGCATGGAGTGTAGGTCAGACAGATATTTCAGCACGGTCTGTGCACCAGCGCTTTGCCAGGACGACGAGGAGGGGGAGCGTGTGTGTCGGGGTTCTCGGCCTTAAAGAACTTAACAGCCAGGTCAGGAGACAGGGAGTTTCCCACTTGAGGATTCAGATAATCCCTGTACCAGCTGGCACCTTTTCTCACCGTAATAGCTCTGTTTCTCAGCAAGATCGCACAGAGCTCCGTGCGGGAATGGCTGAGTGGTCTTATGTGTCTTCATTCTGTGCAGTTCCCTCAGGCTGTAAGATAGGATGAGTTCCTAGAGAGTAGAAGCCTCTGCTCAAGTAATTTCCTCCGTTTGTTCATCCACAATTATTTGAGCACATGCTAGGTTTCAGTTGTCATTAAGAGTTTGTATCTTGAGGGGGCACCTGGGTGGTTCAGTCGGTTAAATGTCCAGCTCTTGACGTCAGCTCAGGGTTTGATCTCAGGGTTGTGAGTTCAAGCCAGACATTGGGCTCCAGACTGGACATGATGCCTACTTTAAAAAAAAAGTTTGTATCTTGAGATGCATACATTCTTGGGAGAAGCAAATTTGCCGATTATTCGGTTTAAAAATGTCTGTTGAAAGCTGTAGGCAGGGCACTTGTGCTGAGTGGGAGTTAAGACTCACTAACTATAGCCTAATGGGGCTCCTGTGAGTGAGAGAGACAAACACCCAAGAGACTCTAATATTACCACACTCAACATTTATTGAGCCTCTATTGTACGCCAGGCAACATATCAGGTGCTTAATATAAATCATCTTAATTTCAGTTAGTCCTCAGGAAATCCCTGTGAGCTGTGTTTGACTATTAACCCTATTTTGTAGGTAGGGAGGCTTAGACGTTGAGAGGTGGTGTCCCTCTTCAGGTAGACAGGGTCACGAGGAGCAGGCTGTGGGTCCAGCCCCAGATCTGTTTGATGGCAGATTCCACAACAGCAAAAATCCGATGCGTGTTGGGTACACATCGAGACCACATTCGCACCACGACTGGGGTGCTCAGGCATGGCTTTGAACTGAGTTGTCTCCATGAGCAAGAAGATGGGGCTTCAAGCCGAGCCTTGAGAGAAGGCAGGGGAGCGGTGAAAGGGACCCTTCTCTTGTTTACTTTACATCAGTAAATAGCTTCTGTGGGGTGGAGTGAGGAGAGGGGAAGAAAAGGGGAAAGTTGCCTTCTCCAGTTTTCTCTTCCTTCACTTCTGCTGGGCCTTCTTGAATCTAACTTTCCTCTAGTGCCAAGAGCTTTCAGTGTCCATGAAGTGTAAGGTGCCTAATGAGTAATGCGAACAGGGAGTGTTGGAACTGAAGGAGAGGAAAACTCACTGGATAAGGACAGTTTTGAGCTTGGTCTTAAAGTGTAAGTGGAAATCAGAGAAAGTGAAGGCAGGGGGCGCTCTGCAGGAGGGTCAGCGCGAGTAAGAGGCAAAGGGAACAATTTCCTCCTGTCAAATTGGAGGGTTTTGAACAGAGTAGAAGTCTGATATTTGAGTCTGTTTGGGCTACTATAAAAATACCGTCAACTGGGGGGCTTATAAACAACACAGATTTATTTCTCATAGTTCTGGAGGCTGGGAAATCCACCGTGAAGATGCAGGCAGGTCCAGCGTCTGCTGACCTGCTTCCTCGTTCACAGATGTTCTCTTCTGGCTGTGCCCTCACATGGCAGGAAGGGGGAGGGAGCTGTCCAAGGTCTCCTGTGCAGGGGCACTCAGCCCATTCCCGAGACTTTCACCTTTGTGACCTAATCACCTCCCAAAGACCCCACCTCCTAATCCCATCACGTTGGGGGTCAGGTTTTAACATAAGAACTTTGCAGGGACACAGATACTCAGTCTGTTGCAGCAGGAAGTAGTTTGGCCAGGATGAGGTAGGTTGTGAAGCTGTGACAGTGTAGCTGGAGGCTAATCTTCTTTTTTTTTTTTTTTTTTTGGGACAGAGAGAGACAGAGCATGAACGGGGCAGGGGCAGAGAGAGAGGGAGACACAGAATTTGAAACCGGCTCCAGGCTCTGAGCCATCAGCCCAGAGCCCGACGCGGGGCTCGAACTCACGGACCACGAGATCGTGACCTGGCTGAAGTCGGACGCTTAACTGACTGCGCCACCCAGGCGCCCCATTTTTTTTTTTTTTTTTTTTTTTTTGAGGCTAATCTTATTAAAGAGTAGAAGCCATGGAGGATTTGTGAGCAGAGGAATGAGTGATCTGAAGAAGACGATTATTTGAGGAAGACCAAAGATAGTTACAGATCTGGAGAATTCCGTACCCCTCAGGGGCAGGACTATTTCCTTGCTTTAAATTATGCATCCACAGAGTGGTTTGGAAACCAGAGAAGTTGTCCATTAGCAAGGGGAATAGGGTGTGAGCTAGGCCGATTGCTATAGTTAGAAGAAGGAAGGTCAGAAATAGAAATTGCATAAAACTTACTCACAGGGTTGGAGCAGAGTTTGAGAAGGGGGAGAAGGCTGAGGCACCTGGGTGGCTCAGTCGGCTGAGTGCCCGATTTTAGCTCGGGTCATGATCTCATGGCTCGTGGGTTTGAGCCCCGTGTCAGGCTCTGCGCTGACAGCCCAGAGCCTGGAGCCTGCTTCCGATTCTGTGTCTCCCTCTCTCTCTGCCTGTCCCCTGCTTGTGTTCTGTCTCTCTCCCTCTCTCAAAAAGAAATAAACATTAAAAAAAAATAATGAAAACTTTAAAAATAAAAAAAAAGAGAGCGAGGGGAAGGCTAAAGGAAGAGGAGTCACGGGGGCTGTCTGGGCGACTCAGTCAGTTGAGCATCCGACTTTAGTTCAGGTCATGAACTTGCAGTTCGTGGGTTCAAGCCCCGCGTCGGGCTCTGTGCTGACGGCTCAGAGCCTGGAGCCTGCTTCGGATTCTGTGTCTCCCCCTCTCTCTGCCCCTCCCCTGCTCATGCTCTCTCTCTCTCTCAAAAACAAAATAAACATTAAAAAAAAAAAAATTAAAAAAGAGGAGTCACGGGGCGCCTGGGTGGCTCAGTCGGTTAAGCGTCCGACTTCGGCTCAGGTCACGATCTCGCGGTCCGTGAGTTCGAGCCCCGCGTCGGGCTCTGGGCTGATGGCTCAGAGCCTGGAGCCTGCTTCCGATTCTGTGTCTCCGTCTCTCTCTGGCCCTCCCCCATTCATGCTCTGTCTCTCTCTCTCTCAAAAATAAGTAAACGTTAAAAAAAAAAATAATTGGGGCGCCTGGGTGGCGCAGTCGGTTAAGCGTCCGACTTCAGCCAGGTCACGATCTCGCAGTCCGTGAGTTCGAGCCCCGCGTCAGGCTCTGGGCTGATGGCTCAGACCCTGGAGCCTGTTTCCGATTCTGTGTCTCCCTCTCTCTCTGCCCCTCCCCTGTTCATGCTCTGTCTGTCTCTGTCCCAAAAATAAATAAACGTTAAAAAAAAAAATTAAAAAAAAAAAATTAAAAAAAAGGAGTCACAAGTGAACGGTGTTAAGTTTTATGTCGTAAGAAACTAATTCCCTCGGTAAAGAGAGAAATCCAAAGTGAGAATTACTGGGGGAGAAAAGAGCTTTATAGCCCTGTTGGCCTTGAGATGGAAATGTTGAGCACACAGGCATGTAGACCAGAATCTGTGAGAGAGATTAGGGCTGTAGGTGAAAACAGAGATGTATCTGTGTCCTGTGCGGGCCTGCTCCAGCTGTGTGGGTGAATACACGTAACCAGGAGAGAAAAGACCCTAAATGCCTTCTTCCTGAAAGGAAACAGAGTGTGATTGTTGGAGCAGAGATGGGGAGTTCAGATTTAATTTTTTTTTTTTTTTGAGAGATGGTGAGTTTTACGTGGTAAATTATAAAGTCCCAACATTGGAATAAAAATAATCTGGTAAGATGTTTAGAGATACTTGATGAAGATTGACCTGAGTGTATAGGAGTGCTTAACTGAGCACTTAACACATTTCCATCTGTAGATGTGGTTTGACTTTCTGGAAGTCCCCTCCGGGTAGTTTTGCTTTCTGTTGGTAACGTTTTAAAACATCATCTCATGGGGTGCCTGGGTGGCTCAGTCGGTTAAGCAGCCGACTTCAGCTCAGGTCATGACCTCACAGTCTGTGAGTTCAAGCCCCGCGTCGGGCTCTGCACTGACAGCTCGGAGCCTGGAGCCTGCTTCCGATTCTGTGTCTCCCTCCCTCTCTGCCCCTCCCCTGCTCACGCTCTGTCTCTCTCTCTCTCAAAAATAAATAAACGTTAAAAAAAAAAAAATTTAAAAACATCATCTCATGAAACAAATTTAACGAGACATTCAAACAAAATATTCTTTCCGTCACTATCCGGTTTCTACGCTGTGTTTCAGATACCAGCGTGGAACTGAAAGTCGAATGAAGCGTGGCAAGAACGGCTGAGGGCTAGACTAACCCAGGTGTGAATAATCGTACACAGACAAAAGCCTGGGGGGCTACTTGCTTTCTGCCTTGTCCTCAGGCTGCAGTTTTTAATCTGCCCACAAACGTGGATTTCATTTTTATTATCTGATGTTTCCCTCTGCTTCCAGGTGCCCAGATGACTATTATGAGCCAGGCTTGTGCAGAAAGATGTAATATAATGAGGCTGGTGGACCGTCGGTGGGCAGGGATTGCCAAAGGAGTGGGCACCCAGAAGATCATCGGAAGGGTACATCTAGGTGAGCAAAAGGCACTGTGGGAGTCTTTTCAGGGTAGTGGGCGTTTCACAATTTGTTTTGTGTAGGCATACCTGATCCAGCAAGCCTGATCCCCAGAAATGTTAAATCCTGTGTTCTGTCAGAGTTACACATGTACATGTTTTAATTTGTTACGAGAAATCAGTCCCTATGTACTTCTATTTTCCTGCTCCTTCGAGACCGCTTTCAACTATGTTAGCTCATTTCTTGTGGTGCTCGCCTCCATATCTCGAAATAACATGTTTGTCGTGCTGTCACTGACACGTAAATACTGTGGAGAGCTGAGCCACCTAACTGAAGATGATTGCTTTTCTCTTTGTGTTGTTTGTCTTGCAATTAGTAATTGTCTTCTTTTGGTCATCTGGTATTCTAAGTGTTCCTCAGTCCCCAAACACTTACCTAGCTGTGTAAATCTCCTTTATACAGTTCATCCTGTTGAAGATTCTTCTAGAGACTGGACCAGTGCTGTAGAGCTGCTTCACAGCTGTTGTTTTAGGATCTCTCTTGACTGGGTCCCAAAGGCTGCTTTCCTCTTGCTTAGATGGGATTATGTGAATCCTCTGTCTTGCTCTTTGTAATTTTGCTCCTCAGTTTATTGGAGGGTAGCTTCCAGAGAAAGAATATAAGGGAGGAAACGGAGTCCTTAAATATCAGAATTTGTCATTGTTGTTGTTTTCCGATACTCTACCAGTCTGGCTAAGTGGGAAGTCACTTTGTTTTCCACAGTTTTTGTCAGTGTTGCTGCGGAGAAGCTGGCTGCTGTCTCAGTTCTTGATCCTATATTTGAAAGGTTTCTTTTCCATTTCTGAAGCTTATAGAATCTTCTTTGACCTCAGTGTTGTGGAATTTCAAATTCACAGCGATGCGCTTGGGTGTAGATCTGTCTTCATCCACCGCAAGGGGTACCTTTCACTTCCTCTCCCCCGCCCCCAGGATGTTTGTTACTCAGTGGGATAACGTCCTATCCTAGACTTGTCCTATAGTTTCCTTTCTTTCCTGTTTCTTTCTTTCGTGTGTCCTGGGTGTGGTGGGTGTTTGTGGGATTTCCTCAACATTGCCTTCCAGCCTTTCTGTTACATTTTGTATTTGTTTGATGGTTTTCTCAGATACCTGGTGATCCTTGGCATCTGCTCATAGTGAAGACTGGGACACCAAAAGGCTGTTTGGAACATTACTTGGGTAGGCAGCCTTGGCGATATTTGGTGATCTGGAAGTTGGAAGGGGGGAAAGGGCTAGAGGCTCAGTAAACTTAAACTTAATCCCCCTGGGATTCAATCAGGTTCTTGTGTCTTTGTCTTTCTCCATGTGCACCTCTGTTTCACTCTCTTGAGAAAATAAACCTCTAGTCTGTTGTTGGGGTGAAAGGAGATAGTCACCTGGCTGAGCAGAGGTCAAGAGGGAACCCCAAGGTCTAACTGTGCCTCCTACATAGACCTTCACCCAGTCTTGCTACTTTGGACTCACCTCTACCCCTGCCTGCAGAGGTACTTGTTCATGAAACACTTGGGGGTTCTGTGATGTTAATTGGCTCGCTTCCCAGTTTTCCTCACTGTCCTCTGCTTTCTGTCCCAAAATTACGTTTCAGTTGTCTCTTCTGTGTGTGTTTTTTAAATTATTCATTTATTTATTTATTTATATTTATTTTTTGCCCTTAGTGATTTGTACCTTAAAAAAGATAAACTTTTATTGTAATTTTTCAGGAGTAAATGGAGATAAATACATGTGCTCAGTCCTTCCTTTGTAACCAAAATTTTTTTTTCTTAATTCCTTAAATCCCTTTGAGACTCAACCACCAAGTAATCTCCTTCTGACCCTTTTCCCTTGCATTTTATTCTTGTAAAAGGTGGTCGTATAATGTATAGAATTTCATACTCTGTTTTAAGAAAAGATAACATGTTCTCAGCGTTACTATAATTTTCATAAGCACCATGCAGATGCATGGGATTCTCTTATATGGGTTTAATGGTCAACTTTTAGGATAAATTTTTTCCCCCAATATTTTGTTACTGTAATATGGCAGTACATTTTTGTGGGGTTTTTTGGGTGCACATTTTAATATTTTTTTCCTTACGAAAGATTCCTGTCAATGAAACTACTGAGTCAAAGGTTATGAACACCTAAAGCCTCTTGATGTATTTCTAATTTGCACCAAAATGGCTTTTCCAGCACTTCGTCAGTATTCATCTTAATGTCCTTCTACAATCAAATATTACTAATTTTTAGTCCCTTAATTTACAGATTTAAAAAGTGTGTTTTTTTTTTTATTGTAAGTTGCTCTTTCATTGCAAGTGATCATTTCTACCCATTTTTCTCTTTTTTGTTTTGTAATATAGTTGTCTGTTTATTAGAGTCTTTTGTTTCTTTTATCGATTTATATAGAATTAGGGTAGTTTAAATACGTTACTGTCACGTACTTTCCTACACACAGTAGGACCGTAATACCACAAACTGGTTTGCTTCAGAGTCTGGGTTTGATTTTTCCATGGTTTTAGGTAGGAAGATAATAGGATGAGGCAAAGTAAGTCTCAGTCCCTCGCGTCCTTCCTTGTGGATGGAAAGGTCTTAGCATTTTGCAGCTTTGGCTACGACAGCAGGCCGAAAACCTATGATCATAAGGGAAATCTAAATAAAGGAGAGCTGTGTCATGGGTAGGAAGACTCGGTGTGTCAAAGGTGAGAATTCTCCCACATTCATCAGCAGTAGTCACTGTGGTACCATCAAGATCTCAGTAGGTTTTTTGTGAGACCTGATGTGCTCATTTAAAATCAGCCCTTTGGGGCGCCTGGGTGGCGCAGTCGGTTAAGCGTCCGACTTCAGCCAGGTCACGATCTCGCGGTCCGGGAGTTCGAGCCCCGCGTCAGGCTCTGGGCTGATGGCTCGGAGCCTGGAGCCTGTTTCCGATTCTGTGTCTCCCTCTCTGTCTGCCCCTCCCCCGTTCATGCTCTGTCTCTCTCTGTCCCAAAAATAAATAAATGTTGAAAAAAAAATTAAAAAAAAAAAATAAATAAAATCAGCCCTTTATTGTAGGAATAGGCAAGATAACTTGAATGACTTTCCCTTCTAGATGTCAGGACCAAAGGACTAAAACAGAAACAGACCTGTGCTTACGTGAACCTTGATAAATGACAGAGGACATCTTACAGAGCGGAGGGAAGGTTTCAGGAAATGATGCGAGGCCAGCTGGCTGTCCCTGTGGAAAAAATGAATAGGAAAACGGACCCTGCCTCACATCACACACAAATGTCAGTTCGGCGTGGGTTACAGACCTAGATGTTAAAAGCAGTATCAGAGCTTTTAGAAGAAAATATAGGAGAATATCTCGCATGCAGAAAAAGAGTTCCTTAAAAGTTAAGAAGGAGATTATTTGGTAGATTGGGCCACATTACGATTAAGAATTTTTTTATCAAAAGACATCATAAAGGATGTGAACAAATGCAAACTAGGAAAGAGTTTTTATAACAGTGACCAATAAAGGATTCGTTTTCAGAATATATACAGTGTGTGTGTATGCATGTGTCCGTCCTTCAATTCAGTAAGATGCTATAAAAAAACTACAGGAGCGATGCACTTGGGTGGCTAGGTTGAGTGTCCGACTTCGGCTCAGGTCATGATCTCGGGGATTGTGGATTCGAGCTCCACGTCTGGCTCTGAGCTGTCAGCATGGAGCCTGGAGCCTGCTTCGAATTCTGTGTGTGTCTCTCTCTCTGCCCTTCCCCTGCTCATACTCTGTGTGTGTCTCTCTCTCAAAAATAAATAAACATTCAAAAATTTAAAAAAAATTACAGGAGTCCTGAGTGGCCCAGTGTCCAACTTGGGCTCAGGTCATGATCTCATGGTTCATGAGTTTGAGCCCTGCTGACAGCTCAGAGCCTGGAGCCTGCTTTGTATTCTGTGTCTCCCTCTTTCTCTGCCCCCCTTCTCGAATTGTGCTCTGTCTCTCTCTCTCTCTCTCTCTCTCTCTCTCTCTCTCTCTCTCTCTCT